TCCCCAAGGACAGCCACTGGGGTGAGCTCTCAGCGGCCACCTTTCAGCTTGCCAAATAGCTCAGGAGTCAACTGATACCACCCAGGTCATGATGTGATGGGCTCTGTGCTCTCACAGTCATTAGCCCTGCAGAGAGAGGCAGGGCTGGCTGCCATGCCTACCCCCGGCTTAGCCCCCAGTGCTGGCATGACCCAGAGCCCACACTCTGCATGGGGTGGGAAAATAAGTGGATGTCTGTTCTCATCTCAAAACCCACTGAGTTCCTCACCCTCAGAAGTTATTTTCTTTCTTTTTCCTTTTCCCTCTTTTTGTTTTTGTTTTTTAAAGACAGGGTGTCTTTGTGTAGCCTTGGTTGTCCTGGAACTCACTCTGGCCTCAAACTCATGGAGATCTGCCTGCTTCTGCCTCCTGAGTGCTGGGATTAAAGACATGCACCACTACTGCCCAGCTAAGGTTGTTTTCAAGCAATACTTTTTTTTTTTTTTGGCAAAACAAAATTTTGTATTTAAAATTTTTTCATTTTACATACTAGCCTCAGTTCCCCTCCCCCCTCCTACCTTCCACCTTCTTTCACCCCTCTGAGGGGCTTAAGGCCTCCCTTGGGGAATCAACAAAGTTTGGTATACCAAGTTGAGGCAGGACCAAGCCCCTCTCCCCTGTATCAGGGCTGAGCAAGATCATAGGTAATGGGCTCCAAAAAGCCAGTTCATGCACCAGGAATAAGTCCTGGCCCCACTGCCAGCTCCCCACAACAGATTAATCCACATAACTGTCACCCACATTCAGGGGGCTTTGTTCAGTCCCGTGCAGGTTCCCTTGCTGTCAGTCCAGGGTCTGTGAGCACCCACTAGCTTGGGTCAGTTTTCTCTGTGGCTTTCCTAATCATGATCTTGACACCCCCCCCCTTGCTCATATGATCCCTCCTCCCCTTCTTCAACTGAATTCCAAGAGCTCAGCCCAGTGCTTGGCTGTGGATCACTACATCTGCTTCCATCAGTTACTGGATGAAGGTTCTATGATGACAATTAGGGTAGTCACTAATCTGATTATAGGGGAAGGCAAGTTCAGACATCCTCTCCACAATTGCTAGGAGTCTTAGCTGGGGTCATCCTTGTGGATTTCAGAGAATTTCCCTAGCACCAGGTTTCTCCCTAACCCCACAATGGCTTCCTCTATCAAGACATCTCTTTCGTTGCTCCCTTCTCCATCCCTTCCTCAACTCGGCCATCTCTAGCCCTCATGTTCCCATCCCCCATCCCCTTTCTTCTACTCCCCTTCCCAGTTCACCCAAGAGATCTTAACTATTTCCCTTTCCTGGGGCCCTCCATGTGTGTCCCTCTTAGGGTCCTCCTTGTGACCTAGCTTCTCTGGGGTTGTAGGTTGTAGCCTGGTTATCCTTTGCTTTATGTCTAATATCCACTTATGAGTGAGTACATACAATGTTTATCTTTCTGGCTCTGGGTTGCCTCGCTCAGGATGGTTTTTTCTAGTTCTATCCATTTGCCAAAGTAGTACTTTTAAATAAGAAATCTAGATTCTCTACTATATTGAACAAAACCTCAGTTATGTTAAAGTTTCATGCCATGCTAGGGAAGAAGTAAAAATGTAAAACAAACAACAAAACATTTTCCAACCACCCTGGAAAACAATTTGTTAGTCTCTTAATAACAACAAAACAGACACACACTCTTCCACCTAGCAAGCTACGCTTAGGCCTTTCCCTCCAGAGAAGTGAAAAATGTACTCCAACAAAAGCCAGAACATGAATGCCAACAGCAGCTCTATTCGAGACTGCCCAGAACTGCAAACATTCAATAGAGGTGGTTAGATTATGAAAAATCCTTATCGTGGAATATTACTCAGCAATAAAAAGGAACAAACTGTGAATCCAGTCTCAAAAGGTCCTATGCTGTTCAATTACATTTATTTATATAACTTTCTTGAACTAAAAAAATTATCCGTAGAAGTACTTATTTCTAACAAACTGTTGGAATAGTGATAAGGAACATGGGATGGGTTGGGGTCCCCAGAGAGTAGCAAAAGGGGGGCTTCTGGTGTGATGAGACAGTCCCGAACCTTGCTCTCGGACAAATCTACAGGGGTAAACTGAAGATTTGTCTCGCCAACCTCAGTTTCCCAGTTTTAAAACAACTCTAGTTAGGAAAGACATGGCCACTGGGGAACTGTAGGGAATGCAAGTTCCTATAGAACCACCATTATCACAGAATAAAAAGTTTTAAAATGCAAATATTAATGCTGAAGATCGGTAAATAAAGCATTGTAGGCAAAGGTCCTTAGAGTAAGCTACTGGAAGCCTGAGCTACCCTACCTGGCCTGTCATCTTCAAGAGCCACAAAGAGCCAGAGGCGTACCTCCATGATAGCCAGAGTGTGGCTTATGGCCATCAGGGAAGATCCCAGCTTGTTGGATTTGATCTGACAATGAATCTGCCCACCGGCTCCATGTGGTGCTCCACAACAGCTGCTGGTGGCTGGGAAGGTCACTGAAGACACCATTGTGTGATGTCACCCCGAGCTACTCCACCGCAGAATCACTGCACCCTAGTTCCTGGGTGTAGGGGACACAGTAACCACGCCTCCTCGGGGCTGGCTACAGGTGTGCCTGACCACGTCCTGGCAGGCATGGTCAGGGTGACGTGAGGGACGCGCACCTGGGAGCCCCTTCTTTTTCCCTGCTTCATTGGTTTGCTCTGCTTACTCCGTTTCTTTCCGGCTGGCTAGGTTGCTCTGTGAGTAAGGCTCTCCCTAATAAATATACCCTAATATCTCTACTGGCTCCGTATCGGTATTCACCTTATACCTGGGTATTGCTTTCTGTGCTCTGCAATGGTGTCCTGGCCTCGCTGCTTTCTAATCCATTCTATAGACCCTTGTCTCAGACCAGAAGACTAAGGAAGGGTCAGGAGTACCTGGAGGCATGGTGCTTTCACATCGATCACATGGATAGCAGAGGGGGATACATCAGACTGCCCAAGCCAAAGACCGGTCTGAGCCAAACTGGCTCAGCACAAATACACGTTTTCCTAGCTTCCGTTCATGGAATCAAAAGTTGATCCTTTCCCCAACCTGGTCCCCTCTTTCCCCGTCTTTCATCCAGGCACACATGATTCTGGAGTCCTTGCTCACAGCGGGTACAAGTAGCATGTGCAGAATGATGCACTCAACACACACACACACACACACACACACACACACACACACACACACACACACACACACGCTGCACATGCTCCACCTGTGAACACATGCATACATACAGGTCCTGCCCACTTCTGTATTTTCTAAGTTTTAAACAATGAATAAGGTTGACTTGCAAATTAAAAATTTGGGGCAAGGCTAACTGGAAGGGTACTGCCCTAATGGACTAATCCCTTCTCTAGAACACCAAGATGAAGGCAGGGGAGCCGCCCCAGAATGAAGGGAAAAGGACAACCAAACACAATGAGGAGTTTTAGCCTGGACCCTGGGTCAGAGAAAGGCCATTAGTGGGGAAATGAGCAAATATGACAACAATGGTCAACAGCAGAGTGCTAATGTTAACTTCCTGGCTTGGGGAGATCTGTGGGGTTCAGAGTGATACACACTTCCTGTACTGCTACTGTGTCTTTAAGAGAAATCTAAAATTATTTAAAAATAAGTCAAGAAAACCAAACCAATGACAATGTCCTCTTTTCCTCCAAGTCCCAGGACACCTTGATAGTACTCTTCTAGGAATCCACTGCAGAAGGAGGACAGGTGGGGACATTTGTGGGCCCCTCAAGTGCCAGTTCTCTACCTGGCTGCTTTGCTGCCTCAGCCATCCAGCCTTCTTCGAGTGGCAACTCCCAGGGACAGCCCTGGGCCCTCCCTGACCTGGGACTGGCCATCTCTTCTTGCTGGTGCTGCATTTAAGCCACCCAGAAAACACTCACAGAGACCCCTGGGAGGTAGCCGCCATTCCTACAATGATTTGTGTGACTGGCAAGAATATGCTCAATAAAAAGTGGCAGAGACAGCTCTGTCCTGTCATACATGTGGCTGCTCCAAAGTGAGGGCCACACCCAGGGCCTGGCACACAGAGTTCAGAATGTGATCAGCCTGGCAGGATGCCCACGTTTGTGGGGGATTGAAAGAAACCTATCTCTTAGGTGGGGTCTCTGCCAAAGCCACCCAACTATGGGGCTCAGCTAGCTTGGCTTCCCTTTCTTGATGAACAAGAATGGCTGTTTTAACCAATTTGCCTAAAATTCACTCCATCAGTCCCAGCCTTTCGAGGAGACCAAGAGAGTGGAAAAGGTTGGCCACTGGTGCCAGTTTTATGTACTATTCTGAGTCTTCCTCCCGACACAGAGGCAGCACTGTCAAATTCAGAGCTCAGAAGAAAAAATCACGCACAATCTAGATACTGCAGGAGCAGAGGGAACCTGTTTTCTACTGGATGCATGGCTGAGCCCAGGCAGGGAATAAAGCCCAGTTCTGCTGTGGGGTGCCCCAGAGTCCGGCAATAACAAGTTCTCTGGGGTAACTTGGGCGTTTCAGGAGATTGTTTTATGGACGGTGCTGTCATGAGCTCCCTCCTCTGTGGAGACACATAAATCAAAGTTCAAAGTCAGCTGATGTACTTTGAGAAATACTCGGAGAACTTCTTTTAGAAGGCCTTTTAGAGAGAGAGTCCTCTGGTTCTTTGAACTTTAGGAAAGTACAAACAGCTAGGTGGAAAGAAACCAGGTAATAGAATATTCCGAGACGTCTGGGTAATCTAGAAGGTGGCTGCACACCTTCAATAAACGAGTGTCCTGGGGAAGGTTCCTCTTTGGGAAGGAGGAAAGTTCGCTCTAGAGGGACACAGCCTGGGGTCAGGCAGATAGTATGGAAAGTGGGCACCCGTAGCTAGCTGCCTTACCCCATCCCCGGATGGGGGGTGGCGGGTGGCGGTAGGTCGGTAGCACAGGAGTGGTTCCCAGCCCCTCCCTCCCTGCTGGTGGCCGAAGCCGCACTCACCAGCTCCGGTAGGAAGAAGGCAAAGGGGATGGTGAGAAACACAGCAACGACCCCCGAGGGCACGTCGGGCGGGGCATAGCTGGTGGCCGGCGGTGTGTCCCGGGAAGCCATGCTGTCACCTATGCCGGTATCCTTGCTCCACAGCACTCGCCCGCGCCCGCAGCTGTTCAAGTATCACCTCCCGCCCGACAGACACACCCATCGGACGAGGGACGTCGCCTGGGAGGGGAAAAGAAAGGTTCCAGAAGAGCAGGTCCTTCTGCACAGAGCCGGCCAGCCAGCCAGAGAGAGGGAACTGGTGCTGCCTCGTGAAGGCTCTTTTCTAGACTTTCCCTGGAGCAAACGACTCCAGGAGGTATCCAGCCATGCCCCTGCTGATCTTTACACTCAGGATGTAAGCAGTGTTTTTGTTTTTGTTTTTGCTGATATAAAATACATTTATTGAGGACCTACTATGTGTAACCATCCACAGACACCTCTGGAGCTCAGACAGTCCAGCACGTGGCTATGTTATACTTTTCCAAGAGAGGAGACTGGATAAGAAAAAGGTACAGTCAAGGTCACAGAGTGGTCACACAGATTGCCTTTCTTCCCATCAAGGCGACCCTGGGATTCTAATTGAGGGATTGAAGCAGCCAGGCATTACACCTCCCCTCTTCAGGGATTTGGTGTTGTCCCAACTGAATCACTCTTTGGGGTCTTGCTCTTGCTGTCTTCCTAGTCGAGCTAGGACCCAGGGTTGGGGCCAAGCAGTTCCTTCCCGAGTAGAGCCCAGGGCTGGCTGCCTTGCTGTGTTTCCACACAAAGCTGTTTCTTTCACACGCAAGCCAGGTCTGGAGACTGGACCGATTTCTTCTTTACCTTCCAACCCACTAACCTTCATTTTTCCACCGCCCTGAGGGAAGGCCTGGCGCCCCAGAGTCTTCTTCCTTCCCTCCTTGGCTCCAGCAGGCCAGCTGGAGAGCCTCCCCGGGCAGAGGAGAGGATGCACGGGAGAGTTGTCCCGAAGACTGGGGTGACAGGATGTGTCTTGTTCCTTAGCAACAGCAGGGAGTTCCAGGGCCTGTCCTGGGCAAGGTGGGAGGAGTAGCCAATTGTCTCTGCCAGCCAGGGAGGTGGATTAAATGAAACTCAAAGCCAAAGCCTTGCAAGGAAAGGCAACAGGTAGCCCCCAAACAGCCTATCCTCAACTCTTTCCAAGTCCCAGAGCTTACAGGCCACTCTCAGGTCCCTACACTGTTGACAGGATGGTGCCAAAGCTACTATGTTCTGCTGGAATCTCACCTCTCACCACCTTTTCTGAATATCAGGGACAAGCAGCACACCACTCTTTGGGGCTGTGGGCCCCCTTTGATCTGACCATAATCTACATGGGGCAGTGGGAAGCTGCTATTAAGCTGTAAGAAGTTATACACCGGCTCTAGGGATAGAACTAGGGTCATCAGGCTGTAGGGACAAGTGTCTTTACCTGCTGAGCCACCTCCCTGGCCCAGAAACTATTTGTTCTGAGTCTACTGTGACGTTAGCTATGCACATCGTACTTCCTAGAGCAGCTTCTAAACAAATACTAATGACACAGATCCAGAGAGTCACTGGTGCTTTTGGGGATGCCAGCCTCACTGCAGAGTCACTGAGAGAACCAGTCTCAAGGGAATATGGCAGTGCATGATAGAGCCAGCATAAGTGTGTGTACACATATGCACATTGTGCACTTGGGTACAAGTTCCTGAATACAAACACACACACACACACACACACACACACACACACACACACTCACACACACACACACACACACACACACACACACACACACACAAAAGTTCTGGCAAGGGAGATTATTCCAATAGGGAGCTTGGGACGGTAGAAATGAAGCAATAGAGACATGGACGGGAAGTATCTGGGTAAAGTATGGTTGAAAGCAAAAGCTGTAGTTCTGTTGGTGATATTTTTTAACTTAGATATATCTAATACAATGACCTCCTCATGGGGCAAGTGAGAAAGGGATCATATGATAATAAGGTTTTTTTATTCTATCTGAAGTGGGAAATATTTTTATTTATTTATTCTTCTCTCATACAATACATACCAACTGCAGCCTCCTCTCTCTCTACTCCTCCTAGCCGGCCCCCACCTGTCCTTTCCCCCAGATCCACTGCTCCTCCATTTCCCTTCAGAAAAGGGCAGGCCTCCCAGGGATATCAACTGACACAGTATAACAAGATGCAGTAAGACTAGGCACAAACCCTGGTATCAAGGCTGGACGAGGCAACCCAGGAGGAGGAAAGGGTCCCAAGAGCAAGCAAAAGAGTCAGAGATACCCCGCTCCCACTGTTAGGAGTCCCAAAGACACCCCAAGTACACAACCACAGCATGTATGTATGTGGAGGGCCTGTGCAGGCTCTGTGATTGAAGCCTCAGACTCTGAGCCCCTATGAGCCCTGCTCAGTTAATTCTGTAACATTTTTATATGTGTTTCCATCTCACACACTGTTACTGTGCGTGTATGTGTTTGTGAGCATGGAGGCTTGCCATTTTTAGAGCAGTTTCTTTTTCTAAAATTCAGTTTGGTTCCTGGTTTGCACTTTATGCTCCCTGTTGAGATGGTTTGTCTTCTGCTAGCTACAGGTGGATTTGCTGTTCCTTCTTGGAGCACGGTTATAATAGCTGCTTTGATGCTTCAGTTCCAGGAGCTACACTGTCTTGGACTTGTTATTGCTTGGTTTTCTTCTTGTCTTTTGTTTTCACAAGTGTTGATATTTTCTCCCATCTTCAAAAATGAAGTGATTTCTGGATTGTCTCATGGACATCAGCAGTCCTGGGATCTGAGTCTTGTTTAAATCCTATATTGAATACTAATCTGTTGTCTTGTTTTATCAGGCAAGTGAGCTTTGTGCCTCCTTTGGGCTGTGGTTTCAATGTTGGTTCAGTTTTGAAGGTTTTGCAGTGGTGTGCTAGCCTTGAACCCACAACCAGTCTGAGGTGCTCTAGTTCTTTTGTGTTTTGTTTATAGTCAGTTTTGGGGTGCACTCAGGCCATACAGACTATTTTAAAAAAATTCTTCTCATAAAATACATCCCGATCACAGCCTCCCCTTCCTCCACTCCTCCCAGTCTCCCCTCATATGGACTATCTTACGGGGTGATTTTCTTGAGCTATCTCTCCGCTCTGATCTAATGCCTTCTAGAACCCAGAAGACTTCAACTTCCACTTTCATCTTGATCTTCTGGGTAAACCCAGTTTTTTTCTTTTTCTCTGTTATCTTGAGGACCAAAAACACAGTAAGACTGAAGTGGGTGAGAGTGTGAGTGCCCAGGGGCTGGGGCAGGAGAGGTGACAAGCGCTAGGGGGATAGTCAAAATTGTTGATGTAAAAAAAACACAGCTCTCATGCCCTCCCCTGATAATGAGATTGATGACTAACTTATATGCCACCCGATAGCCTTCATCCAGCAGCTGGTGGAAATAGAAGCAGACACCTACAGCTAAACACTGAACTGAACTGGAATCCAGTTGCAGAGAAGGACGAGTGATGAGCAAAGGGGTCCAGACCAGGCTGGTGAAACCCACAGAAACAGCTGATCTGAACAACGGGGAGCTCTTGGTCCCCAGACTGATAGCTGGGAAACCAGCAAGGAACTGATCCAGATCCCAGGAATGTGGGTGTCAGTGAGGAGACCTTGGAAATCCATGGGGCCTCCTGTAGTAGATCAGTACTTATTCCTAGCATCACAGGATGTTAGGTCCGACAGAGAAGTGGGCAAGGAAATGCCTGTTTAGAAGGCTAAAGCTGAGAGACAGGATAAGATATAATTAGGCTGTGAGCCTGCAACATCCCAACCTTTCCTTGTCACTCAGTTCCAATCACTCAGTGTTTGCAGTCATGGTTTCTTTCCAGGAATTCTTCATAGTACTGATTGCCATCTCACCAGAATCTACTCAGAAGACAAATCACCTCTGGGTATGTCTGTGAGGGAGTTTCTACATTGGTTGAGGTGGGAAGACCTGCCCTAAAAATGGTGCCTCTTCGATGGGTAGGGTCTTGTGCTGAATAAAAAAAGGGGAAAGTGAGCTGAGCACCACCGTTCTTTGATCTGCTTCCTGCCTGCTGATGCGATGTGGCTGTCTGCCTTATGCCCTTGCAGCCATACTTTCCCTGTCATGATAGACTTTCTTCTCAAACCATGAGCCAAAGCAAACAAAATACTTTCTTCCTTCCTTAAGTTGCCTTCGTCAGGCATTTTGTTGAAGCTCTGCACATGCTCTCTGGTTCCTAGGTTCTTTCTTCTCACCAGGCCAGGCATCCTTGACTGTTTTTGGAGATGTCTTTGCATCCCATATCCAGCTCTGGGTTTCAGAAGGCCTCTGTGTCCTAGTTGGGAGGTAGCAGAGGAAAGAAAATGGGAAGGTCAGGTGGGTATGGTGGTTTATAGCTATAATCCCAGACCTTGGGAGGCTGAGGCAGGAGAATCGTCCATGAGCTCAAGGCCTACCTAGGCTACAGAGTGAGTTTCCTTGGCTACAGAGTGAAACCATGCCTCAGAAAAAACAAAAACCAACCAACTAAACAAATAAATAAAACCTACCAAAGGAGAGAGAGAGAGAAAGAGAGAGGAGAGAGAGAGAGGAAAGGCCCCCAACACCTAAGAAATACTTTGAATTCTGCCTGTCTTCCCCTGTCCCCCACTCACTGTGTTTGTTGGGTCCTGATCTAGAGTCTCAGCTCCACCCAGTGGGCAAGAAAAGGCAGACTAACCTTGGCTTGAGCTAGTGAATTCTCTGCAAACACTCACTGTGAGTTTCTTCTACTTATTTACTACTGGCTGTTTGTCTCTGACCCTTGACCCTTGCCCTTCCTTAGGCTGTGGGCTTCAGGAGAGCAGGAGAGTGGGAGTATTCTTGTGGCTGACCACTGTGCTGTCTTGAATGCTGCCTGGCAACACGGAGGACCCCAATCGATGTGCTGAATGATGAGCTCTCTCATTTCTCTAGTCATAAACATTCTAGAGACAATTTTTCCCTTCTCATTTCCCCCTTCCTCCCTTTCTCCTCCTCTTCCACTTTCTCTTCCTTCTCCTCCCCTTTCTCTCAATATTTTGTTAACCTCCAGGT